ACGAAGACGACGACGACGAAGACGACGCCGACGCCGACGCCGACGCCGACGGGGTGGCAGCGGTGGCGGCGGCGGCAACGACGGCGGCGCCAGCGCCTTCGCCGCCGCCGCCGCCGCCGCCGACGCCGACGACGACGACGACGACAACGCCGACGCCGACGCCGACGCCGACGCCGCCGACGCCGACGACGACGACGACGACGACGACGACGCCGACGACGACAACGACGACGAACACGAAGACAAAGACGCCTTCGCCGCCACCGCCGCAGCCGCCGCCGCCGACGACGACGACGACGACGAAGACAACGACGACGAGCACGAAGACAAAGACGCCGACGACGACGACGTCGACGATGACGACGACGTCGACGATGACGACGACGACGAAGACGACGACGACGACGACGACGCCCGCGACCCCGACGTCGACGACGACGACAACGACGACACCGACGCCGACGCCGCCGCCGCCGCCGACGACGACGCCGACGCCGACGCCGACGACGACGACGACGACGACGACGACGACGACGACGACGACGACGACAACGTCGACGCCGCCGCCCCCGCCGCAGACGTCGACGCCGACGCCGACGACGACGCCGACGCCGACGACGACGCCGACGCCGACGGGGTGGCAGCGACGGCGGCGGCGGCAGCGACGGGGACGCCGACGACGACGACGACGACCACGGCGACGACGACGTCCCACGGGCGACGAGCAGTTCCGCGGGAGGGGCGCCTGGCTCCAGGGGGCGACGGTACAGCGCCGAGCGCTCCTGCCAGCGGGGGCGGCGGCGCCGCCGCCGCGTCGTCGCCGCCGCCGCCGCCGCCTCGAAGGCGTCGTCGCCGCCGCAGCCGCCGCCGTCGGAATCGCCGTCGTCGCCGCCGTCGGCACGGCCTTCGCAATCGCAATCGTTTCGTCGCATACAGTCGGACCCGATTGGACAGGACTCGCGAGAGGACACGAGACCCTTCCGAGGGCCACATTGCCACAGGAATGTAGGAAGCATGGGTCGCGAGACACAGGACACAAGGGTACTCTTAATCTGGCAGGGTCGACCTACTAATCCAGGCCGCATGTAATCGTCTTTGCGGTGATGATGGTGGTGGTCACCGTCGTCGTCGACGACGGCGTCGTCTTCCGCCCCGCTCCTCACCCTCCCCCTCCTCCTTGTCCCTCTCGTGCTTAAAAGGGTCTCGATCGGCCAGTGCGGCTTGAGTGAGACTGTGAGCCTCGGGATGGCTTGCATTGACAGTAGCCTGCTTTCGAAGGAGCCCTCTCAGTGCACAGTTTGCATGATACGCGGTGCCGCCGCCGCCATCACCGTCGTCATCATCGTCGTCGCCCTCCTCCTCCTCCTCCTCCTCCTCCTCCTCCTCCTCCTCCTCTTCCTCCTCCTCCTCATCATCCTCCCACTCCTTCTCCTCCTTCTCCTCCTCATCTTCCTCTTCATCCTCCTCCTGTCCTCCTCCTCCCTTCGCCACCTCCTTCCCCTTCCTTCCCCCCCATCCCCGTCCCTCTGCCTCGTCACCCCCCCTCCAACGACGCCGACAACGACGTCGATCACGACCAGAATCAGCTCAGCATGGTTCTCCGCACCCCTCCCAGGATCCATCCGGGTCAGTTTGTCGAGCCGCGCTCCGCTGTGGCCACGAGCGCTCCCGAAAAAGCGTTCCCCCCAAACAAAAAGTGGAAGACGCTAAAGGTCCGCCGACACGGGCATTTGAGCTCTTGGGTTACAGCTGCGGCCTCTGGAGGCCGTTCGGAGCGATACTCTCGCATCCCCAGCACGCTCTCGGCGAGGCGCAGCTGCTGGGGAGCCGTCCAGAGACGAAACACAAGAGACCCAGCGAGACCCTCCACAAAACCTGCGACCGACTATCGTCGGGCTTCTGGGCTCGAGGCCCGACCCTCCCAGCGACGGTGGCGACGCCGACGGCGGCGGCAGGGAGCTCCGCAAGGCGAGCCAGGCGCGGCGCAGGAGCCGCGCGGGGCGCCGCCGAGAGCGCCGTGTGCCGCAGAGGGGCCTCGGTCGTCGTCGTCATCGGCGGCGTCGTCGGCGTCGTCGTCCGCGTCGATATGGCTCGTCGACGGCGTCGTCGTCGTCGTCGTCGGCGTCGTCGTCACTATCGCCATCGTCATCGTCGTCGCCGTCGCCGACGCCGCCGCCTCCGTCGACGGCGTCGTCGTCGTCGCAATCGCAGTCGTCAGCGTCGTCGTCGTCGCCGTCGCCGTCGTCCATGTCGTCGTCGACGTCGTCGTCGTCGCTGTCGCCGTCGTCGTCGTCGTCGTCGTCGGCGTCGGCGTCGTCGTCGCTATCGCCGTCGTCGTCGCCGCCGCCGCCGCCGCCGCCCCGTCCTCGTCGTGGTCGTCGTCGTCGTCGTCGTCGTCGTCGTCGTCGTCGTCGTCGTGGTCGTCGTCGTCGCTATCGTCGTCGTCGTGGTCGTCGTTGTCGTCATTGTCGCCAGCTGGGCCAGGAGGTTCTGTGCGCAATCCTGGGGCCCAGGATGACCCTATTAGACATGGTGGTGGTGTACAGATGCGTGGACAGGGAGGCCGTCGGGAGTTTGAATCCAGGTTCGAGGATCGAGGTTCGAGGGCCACAGCTCGAGATTCGAGGATCGAGTGCCCAGGTCCGGGCCTAAGGAGGTCCCCCGGGACCTGACGGGCCTCCTTACGCGAGGCCCCCGACGGTCGGTGAGGCAAAGGGGTGAGGCGGACCGTTCTGGGGCCCGGGCCGTCCTGCGGAGCTGCCTCGGACGCCCAAGGCATCGGAATGCTCTTGGCCCTCCTTGTGCGCGGCCCCAGGGGCCTCGGGGGGCCTCGGGGGGTCCCTGCCGACGGGAACTTTTTTCACTGGCGTGCCGCAACGGCGACCCTGGCAGCTCTGGCCGCCTGTCGGCCTGCCTGCGGCCTGGCCTCCCAGTGGCGTCCTCGCTACGCATGATGATGAGGATGAGGATGATGATGCTGATGATGATGATGATGATGATGATGATGATGATGATGATGATGATGATGATGATGATGGTGGTGATGATGATGGTGATGATGGTGGTGATTGTGATGATGAGGACGAGGAGGAGGAGGTTGACGAGGATGAGGTTGATGATGATGATGATGATGGTGGTGGTGATGATGGTGGTGATGATGGATGATGGTGGTGGTGATTTTGCTGCTGGTGATGATGATGGTGAAGATGAAGATGGTGATGGTGATGATGATGATGATGATGGTGGTGGTGATGATGATCATTAACAGTCCGATGATGATGGGAAACATGATGTTGATGGTGGTAGTTGAGATGACGATGACGATGATGACAGCCATGATGATGATGATGATGATGATGGTGATGATGATGGCGCTGATGATGATAGTGGTGCTGGTGATGATGAGAACGATGATGATACTGGTGATGACGACGGCAATGATGATGCTGATAACGATGAAGATGACGATGACGATGGCGATGACGATGATGATGACGATGATGATGATGATGACGGTACTGATGATGATGCTGATGATGATGGTGGTGGTGGTGATGAGGATGAGGAGAGGATGAGGATGAGGATGATGGTGAAGATGATGATGATGATGATGATGATGATGATGATGATGATGATGATGATGATGATGGTGGTGGTGATTAGGATGAGGATAATGGTAATGATGGTGATGGTGATGCTGTCGGTGACGGTGATGATGGTAATGGTGATAATGATACTGATGATGGCTATTGTGGTGATGATGGTGGTGCTACTTATGCTGATGATGACGATGGTGGTGACGGTGATGTGGCTGATGATGGTGATGGTGATGGTGACGGGGAAGATGCTGATGCTGATGATGCTGACGCTGGTAGTGCTGATGATGTGTTTGATGATGATGGTGATGATGATGATAACGATGATGACGATGCTGGTGATGATGACGATGCTGAGGATGATGATGATGATGATGATGCTGATGCTGCTGATGATGATGATGGTGATGATGACGACGACGAAGACGATGATGATAAAGGAGGGGCGCGCCTGGCCTCTCCTGCGGCCTGGCTCCCCTGCAGCCCTTGCAATACGAGGGGCTGCTGCTTCTTCAGGACGAAGATGTTGTCACGAGACGACTGGCTCAGGACACGACTGGCTCAGGAGTATCTGGCGGTCCTAGCTTCTGGAGACCCTGCGGCTCCACACGAAGCCCTGGAAATCCGGGAACCATCGGAGATCCCGGGAGGCCTCATCATGACGGTGGGCTTCTCTGATTCTTCCTCTGATACGAAGAACTGGCCCTGGTCACTAGGGTTAAGTCGGGCCTGTCCGCCTACAGGGGGATTCAAAGATAGTCAAAAAACTACCCCCAAATGGCCAACAAATACTCCAAAAAACATCCCCAGGCTATTCTTTGACTGTTTTTGCATGTTCCTCCTGTAGAAGGACGGGCCCGACTTAACACTAGGGCCGGGCCTTTTCTCCTCGTCCCCCTCCTCGTCGTCCCCATCCTCATCCTGCTACTCCTCCTCCTCGTTCTCCTCCTCTCCCTCCTCCCCCTCCTCCCCTCCTCCTCCTCCTCCTCCTCCTCCTCCGGGCAGCGGCTTCTGCCGTCCCCTGCGCCCCCGCCCCCAGAGCCCGCGACGCGCGCGGCGCGGCGCCTGGGCCCGAGGCGCGCCCTTTCCGAGGGAGGGTGAGGGGAGAGAGGCGGCTGACCTCCTCCTCCTCTCCTCCTCCTCCTCCCCTCCTCCCCATCCTCCTCCTCCTCCTCCTCCTCCTCCTCCTCCTCCTCCTCCGCCTCCCTCCTCCTCCTCCTCCCCTCCTCCTCCTCCTCCTCCTCCTCCTCCTCCTCCTCCTCCTCCTCCTCCTCCTCCTCCTGCGGCCTGGGCACCCCCGAGAAAACGCTATCTCTGCTGGAGCGCATCCCGAGGCAACAGAACCTCCACGGGAGCCGACGAAGACGCACCCTGGGGCGAGAAACCCTGCCACGTATCACCCGGGCGACGGGCCACTCGTTTCGGGCACAGGCTAACACGGACCAGGGATCCGTGGACCTGGCGCGCGGGCGCCAGATCCAGGGGATCGGGGGCGGCAACCAGTGCGGCCGACTTGGCCACGGAGCGCGTCGACTTGCATAAAAAGGGAGCCCGTCGCTCACCCACGCGCCTCAGTCCACGGTTGCGGTCCCTTGATCCCCAGATTTGCGATGTCCTGATTTTTTCGATACGCGGTCCCCAGAAGTCCCGACTCCTGCCCTGGGACAGGCTTGTCATCCTGAGCTGTCTCTTGACGGTCCCAGGGCCCGGTGAGGGCCCCCAGAGGCCGAAAACGATGAAAAATCTCCGTCCTGAGTTTCCTACCCAGACCCCCGACGTCATGATTTTTTTCATGACGTGGACCCCCAGCGGCCTGGACCCATTCCCTGGGACTGGGCTTTCATCCTGAATCCTTAACTGACAATCCCGAAGCCAGGCAAGGACCCCCAGAAGCCGAGAATAGCGAAAAACCTTCCGTCGTGTGTGACAGTCCCGAGACCCGGCAAGGGCCCCCAGAGGCCCAAAAATCACGAAAAACCTTTCGTTGTGATTTTCTCATGGCTAGAGGGGGACTGGGATGCCTGGGTTGATCCTCCCTCGGCTACACGCAGCAGTGAACCTGGGTAAGGAGTGCCCCTTTGGAGCGCGCGGCTTTGTTGGGGGCCGCGGGGGGACCAACACACAAGCACGAAAGGCGCTACTGTCGCGCCGCCTTGGGCGATCGGGGGCCCTGGTGGGCCCGCACCAGAGGTCACTCCGGCCAAGGGTCGATCTTACTTGTACTGTCGGACCGAAGACCGAAGAACATCCCTCAACAACAAGATACCCTCCGCCGGCCAAACGGACCTAGCCCAGAAGAACAACCTTCAAGAACATGAGACCCTCCGCTGGCCAAAACACCCCGAATCTTAAGATCATTCGAGGGAGTACAAGAACATCCAACAAACACAAAGAAAATTAGGGTACCCTTCCCGAACCGACCTCGATCTTATACCTCGGTCCTCGGCCCGATTGTATGCTTCTCTTTCAACTTCCTTCGCTATCATCCAGTGGGCCCGCACCAACGGTCACTCCGGCCAAGAGTCACTCCCCAGAACCCAGACGTCATGACTTTTTCAAAACGTCGCCCCCCGAGGTCTCGACCCATGCCCTGGGACCGGCTTTCGTCCTGAGCCGTTTCTCTTGACGGTCCCGAGGGCCGGCGAGGGCCCCCAAGGGCCGAGGATAGGAAAACAAAAAAAAGGGGTCTGGGTCTTGCGTGTACAGTGGAGGCCAGTCCACAAGAAACCTTTCACAAGAACCCAGCCCTGAGACCCCAGGACGTCCATGGATTTCTTGGTGTGGGAGCGTCACGCTCTCCATAGCAAGACCACCGAAACCCAAGACACCCAGGGCACCCTGGAGGCAAGCAGGGTGTTTCTTGGCATGGGCCTCCACTGTACGTGTAGGCGATCCTCGCGCGTCTCAGGGGGCCGTTGAGGGGGGGGGGGCCGGCCGCTAACCTGACCTTCGCGCTGTGGGCAGCCCTGCATCAGCTCGCGCGCGCCGCCTCTGCGGCCCCTACAGCTGCTGACGATGCTGCCACGACGCAACCGTTGGTGCTGCGACGATGCGGGCGCCGTGTGAGAGTACCTCTACGGCAGGTTCGTGTCGTGCCGACCCCAGCGTTGGTTTTTGACACCGCAGGGATCGTTCAACCTTGAACGATCGGCCGCTGCCGCAACGTCCGATCGTTCAACATCGATCGATTCTGGGTCGCCCGCGGCGTTCAAGGTTGAACGCCGCTGGCGGGGTCGCCGCCGGTCGACACGACACGAACCTACCGTAGGGATGTCTGGACAGCTGGCATTGCACACGCAGGGCAGGGGCGCGGGCGGCGCAGCTCGCTTGGCGCCGGGGCCGGCGGCGTGCGGCCAGCTCGGGGCGGGCGGCGGGGACACCTCGGCGAGGGCGCGCGGCCGCGGCTTGGGCGCCGCCGCCGCCCGGAGCCGCCAGCAACCGCCGCCAGGGGTCGATCGTCGTCGTCGTCGTCTCTCGTCGTCGTCGCCGTCGAGAATCGGCGTCGTCGCCGTGAATCGTCGTCGTCGTCGTCGAGGATCGCCGTCGTCGTCGTCGAGGATCGCCGTCGTCGTCGTGGATCGCCGTCGTCGTCGTCGTCGTCGTCGTCGTGGATCGTCGTCGTCGTCGTTGTTGTCGAACGGTCGTTACCCAGGGGTGTGTTTCGTGCAGGAGGGTAAAGGATCGATCGACCGCGATTCGAGGCCACGGACCTCAATCAGGGTCGTTCGGGCCGTTTCGGGGGGCCTCGGGAGGGGCTCTCGTGGTCACGGCCGGGTCCGCCTCGGAATCCTGGCCAGAGCGCACCCCGGCAGAGGTCCAAGGATCGGCCCCCGTCTCGCAGTCGCCATCGCCGACGTCACAGTCGCCATCTTCGTCACGGGGGGGGGATGGATGAGGGCGGAGGCGGAGGCGGAGGCGGAGGCGGAAGAGGAGGAGAAGGAGGAGAAGGAGGAGGAGAAGGAGGAGGAAAATGGAGGATGAAGGATGGAGGATGGAGAAGGAGGATGGAGAAGGAGGAGGAAAAGGAGGAGGAGGAGGAGGAAGAGGAGAAGGAGGAGAAGGAGGAAAATGGAGGATGGAGGATGGAGGATGGAGGATGGAGAAGGAGAAGGAGGATGGAGAAGGAGGAGGAGGAGGAGGCGGAGGCGGAGGCAGAGGCAGCGGCAGAGAGCAGGGGAACGCGGGGCGCCTCGAGAGGCCGACCCGGCGGGGGCCCGCGCGCGCTCCGGACCGCCCGCCCCCCCCCCCCCCCGAACAAAGGAACCGCGTCAAACAAAAACGCGAGGAGGACGGAGCTCGGAGCGGAGCCTCCGGGGAGAGCACTCCGGGGAGGGACGGGCTTCCGCCCCGACCCGGGGGCCCGGTTCGGAGGGCCCCCCTCCGGGGCCCAGCCCCTCCGGGGCCCAGCCCGGCGGGTCCCCGGGGGGGCCGGGGTCGGGGAGAGCAGCGCCGGGGCTGAAGAGGCAGGGCCTCGCCGAGATCCGGGGGGGGGGGGTTCTCCTGGCGGCGGTGCAGCGAGGCGACCGCCCAGCACTGGGAGGCAGCGGCGCGGCGGGGGAGCACGGAGCTGGAGCCGGCGATGCCTCGCCGATGGATGGGCGGCAGGCCCCCGACAGCGAACATCCGCACGGCCCTGGGCGGAGTGGGCCATCGGGCCCTACCGGCGCTGAGTGGGCGATGGGGGGTCCCCAGACCCCCTCGCGTCGTGAAAAAATCACGACGGGAAGTTTTTCGCTATTTTCGGCCTCTGGGGGCCCCCACCGGGCCTCGGGAGCGTCAAAAAACGACTCAGGATGCAAAGCCGGTCATGGGGAAAGGGTCGGGACCTCTGGGGGTCGACGTAATGAAAAAATCATGACGTCGGGGGTCTGGGTCGATGCGCCCCCTCCCCCTGGCACGAAACTCCGACGTCGCGAGTTCGTTCGCAGAGTGGGCCCCTGGAGATCTGGACCCCTTCCCCTGGGCCAGGTCTTCGTCACGAGTCGCTTGCCGGTCCTGGGGCCTGCTGGGGGCCCTGGGGAGCGCAGCGTACCAAAAGCCTCCCGCAACAGCTCTTTCGCAACGAGTCCGCCCTGGGCAACCCAGTCCCCCAAGCAGAGTCAGGTAAAGGAACCCAGGAGCATGCGACACCTAAAAGATGGTAGAGGTAGGGCGAAGCACTGCTGGGGCTGGTAAGATTGAGGTTAGCAGACCTGTGCCGAGTCAAAATGTCTCTCCTCCGCCTCCTTCCATCCAACCCCCACCTCCAGTAAGTACAATCAACCGTATGATAAGGATGCGCAAACTATGTTAACGTTCTCGAACGAGGCTTGCCAGCGAAAGTCGCTGAGGATGGGCCGAAGGAACAAGGATGCAAGGGTAGCCTTGGAAAGTCGCTCATCCTCACTGTGCGGGCTGACTGCATGGCTTTCACCGACGGCTATGGTTAGGTCGTGCATGTCCCCCCACAGGCGGGTTTTGGAAGAGAAATGAAAAATACTGCAAAAAATGCTTCTACAGAAAAACTCAAACATAATCTTAAACAAATCGTCCCCAGACTATTTTCTTACTGTTTTTGAATATTCCTCCTGTAGAGGGACAGGCCCGACTTAAGGCTATGGCTAGTTCTCCTGGGCGAGGGGCCTGTCCCGCCCTGACGCTGCCCCTGACAGGCCCCCCAGAAGGGGGCGCGCGCACCGTCACGCGCTGGGCCAACCCGCCGCACGCGAGCGGCGCCGCCGCGCTCGACACCCCCGCCTGCCGGCGGGCACGCGGGGTGGGGGCTCCCTCCTCCTCCTCCTCCTCCTCCTCCTCCTCCTCCCCCTCCTCCTCCTCCTCCTCATCATCCTCATCCTCCTCCTCCTCCTCCTCCTCCTCCTCCTCCTACTCCTCCTGCTAGTCCTCCTCATCCTCCTCCTCCTCCCCCTCCTTCCTCCTCCTCCTCCTCCTCCTCTCCTCCCTCCTCCTCCTCATCATCATCATCATCATCATCATCATCATCCTCATCATCATCATCATCATCATCATCATCCCACCACCATCATCAGCATAAGCATCATCATCATCATCATCATCATCATCATCATCATCAGCATCGTCATCATCATCATCATCACCATCGTCATCGTCATCGTCATCGTCATCATCATCATCATCATCGTGGTCATCATCATCATCATCATCATCATCATCATCATCATCATCATCATCATCATCATCATCATCAGAATCATCATCATCATCATCAACATCAACCGCAGAATGCTCTTCGTCCTCATATTCCTCCCATCCTCCTCCTACTCTTACTCCTCCTTCTCCTCCTCCTCATCTCCTCCTCGTCCTCCTCCTCCTCTTCCACCTCCTCCTCATTATCATCAGCAGCAGCACCATCATCATCATCAGCATCCTCCCCCCAGCATCATCAGCATCATTATCATCAGCGTCATATTTTTCATCATCGACATCGTCGTCATCATCGTCATCGGCATCATCATCGTCGTCGTCGTCATCAATTTCACCTTCATCATCATAATCATCATCATCATCATCAGCAGCAGCAGCAGCATTACCAACATCGTCATAACCATCCACGATCATCATCATCATCATCATCATCATCATCATCATCATCATCATCGTCGTCGTCGTCGTCGTCGTCATCATCGTCATCGTCATCATCATCAGCATCACCATCATCTTCTTCATCAGTATCCTCTCCTCGTCCTCATCCTCCTCCCCCATCCTCCTCCTCTTCCTCCTCCTCCTCCTCCTTCTCCTCGTCCTCCTCCTCCTGCTTCTCCTCGTCCTCCTCCTCCTTCTCATCATCCTCATCCTCATCCTCGTCATCATCAGCAGCATCAGCATTTTTGTCGTCATCATCGTCACCACCACCACTAAACACCACCAGTATCATCATCAGCAGCAGCATCATCACCATCATCAACATCAACATCAGCATCATCATCATCCTGCTTTTCCTCCTTCTCCTCGTTCTCCTCCCCTTCCTCTTCCTTACCCTCCTCCTCCTCCATTCCTTGTCCTTGGAAACAGCTCCTCCCTGAACACCCCGAGGCCGGTCGAAAGGGAGGGCCGCGCGTTTCGCCTGAGACTTCCTCACCATCTATGAGCCTGACGCTCAAAAACCGACAACTGTTTCACAGATGTGGCTCTCGCTTTAGCGCTGCGTCACTCGCCTTAAAAGCTTAGAAACTGCATGCAATTCCCACGCGAAAGCACGATTCCAGCATAAATTGTGAGGAATTCCCGCGCGCGAAAGCACGGTCTTGAAATAAAGTGTCAGGAAGAATCAAGCGGAAGCCGTTGTTGTTGTGTTGCTGCTGTTGTTGTTCTTGTTGTTGCTGAACTCTCGCTACTGAAAAAAATATTGTTGATCCCCCACCTCCTGTAACCATTGCATTTTTCAATTGAAGTGCTTCCACCACGGCTCGCACCCGGGTTTTTATCAGGAAAAGTCACGGGGCTCAAACTGTGCCCCTGGCCCCGGGTTGACAACAACAACAACAACAACAACAACAACAACAACGGCTCCCGCCGGATACTTCCTCACAATGTATTTCCCAATCGCGCTCTCGCGCGGGACTTCCTCATAATTTGCGTGTGCGAGCCGCGCTCTCGTGTGGGACTTCCCCGCAATTGTTTCAGACGATGCGCCCTCGGCGCTCAGGAATCACGCTCTCGCTTGGGTGGGAGAGTTCATCCTAATGGTGAAATCAGACACCACGCAAAAACACCACGCAAATACACCACGCAAAAACACTACGCAAAAACACCACGCGAACGCTGGAGGGTGAATTAGACATCAAGCAAATACACCACGCAAAAACACCACGCAAAAACACCACGTAGCGGTTTTGCGTGGTGTTTTTGCGTGGTGTGTTTGCGTGGTGTTTTTGTGCGCCGCTGGGGCGGCGCGGGGACGCAGTGGGGCAGGTCGCGGTTCACGTGGTGTGTTTTTGCGTGGTGTTTTTGCGTGGTGTATTTGCGTAGTGTATTTGTGCGCCGCTGGGGCGGCGCGGGGACGCAGTGGGGCAGGTCTCGGTTTACGTTGTGTTTTTGTGTTGTGTTTGCGTGCGCCGCTGGAGCGGCGCGGGAGCGCCGTGGGGCAGATCGCGGTTTACGTGGTGTCTTTGCGTGGTGTTTGCGTGCGCCGCTGGAGCGGCGCCGGAGCGCCGTGGGGCAGGTCGCGGTTTACGCGGTGTTTTTGGGTGGTGTTTTTGCGTGGTGTTTGCGTGCGCCGCTGGAGCGGCGCCGGAGCGCCGTGGGGCGGGTCGCGGTTTACGTGGTGTTTTTGCGTGGTGCTTGCGTGCGCCACTGGAGAGGCGCAGGGGCGCAGTGGGGCAGGTCGCGGTTTACGTTGTGTTTTTGCGTGGTGTTTTTGCGTTGTTTGCGTGCGCCACTGGAGCGGCGCAGGGGCGCCGTGGGGCAGGTCGCGGTTTACGTGGTGTCTTTGCGTGGTGTTTGCGTGCGCCGCTGGAGCGGCGCCGGAGCGCCGTCGGGCAGGTCGCGGTTTGCGTGGTGTTTTTTTTTGTTTCCGCGTGGTGTTTTTGCGTGGTGTTTGCGTGCGCCACTGGAGCGGCGCAGGGGCGCCGTGGGGCAGGCCGCGGTTTACGTTGTGTTTTTTTTGCGTTGTGTTCGCGTGCGCCGCTGGAGCGGCGCGGGGGCGCAGTGGGGCAGGTCGCGGTTTACGTGTGTTTTTGCGTGGTGTTTTTGCGTGGTGTTTGCGTGCGCCGCTGGAGCGGCGCAGGGGCGCAGTGGGGCGGGTCGCGGTTTACGTTGTGTTTTTGCGTGGTGTTTTTGCGTGGTGTTTGCGTGCGCCGCTGGAGCGGCGCAGGAGCGCAGCTGGAGCGCCGCTGCAGCCCGCTGCAGCGCCGCTGCAGCACCCCAGGAGCGCAGTGGGGCAGGTCGCGGTTTACGTGGTGTTTTTGCGTGGTGTTTTTGCGTGGTGTTTTTGCGTGGTGTTTTTGCGTTGTGTTCACGTGCACCGCTGGAGCGGCGCCGGAACGCCGTGGGGCGGGTCGCGGTTTACGTGGTGTTTTTGCGTGGTGTTTGCGTGCGCCGCTGGAGCGGCGCCAGAGCGCCGTGGGGCGGGTCGCGGTTTACGTGGTGTTTTTGCGTGGTGTTTGCGTGCGCCGCTGGAGCGGCGCCGGAGCGCCGTGGGGCGGGTCGCGGTTTACGTGGTGTTTTTGCGTGGTGTTTGCGTGCGCCGCTGGAGCGGCGCGTCTTTGCGTGGTGTTTTTGCGTGGTGTTTGCGTGCGCCGCTGGAGCGGGGAGTCTTTGCGTGGTGTTTTTGCGTGGTGTTTGCGTGCGCCGCTGGAGCGGGGAGTCTTTGCGTGGTGTTTTTGCGTGGTGTTTGCGTGCGCCGCTGGAGCGGCGCCGGAGCGCCGTGGGGTGGGTCGCGGTTTACGTGGTGTTTTTGCGTGGTGTTTGCGTGCGCCGCGGGAGCGGCGGTTTACGTGGTGTTTTTGCGTGGTGTTTGCGTGGTGTGTTTACGTGGTGTATTTTATTTCACCATTAAGGTATTTCATTTCACCATTAAGGTATTCTATTTCACCATTAAGAAATTCTATTTCACCATTAAGATTTCTATTTCACCATTAAAACGCTTATTTCACCATTAGGAGAAACCGTCCTTGGGTTTGTCTCACGATTTACTTGGAAATCGCGCTATCGCTCGAAACTTACTAGCGAATCATGCAGGACCCACGCTTCAGCAACCCGCCTGTTCGACGTGGTCACCTGGGCCCGCATTCCCGACTTGCCCGCTATGGGTCTGCCCACCCGATCTGCCCGTCTGGTTTTTCCATGTGTTTTCTGCTCCTTGCCCCCTCCTGCTAATTTCTCTCGTGCTCCATTCCTCCCCATCCCCCTTCCACCCGTCCTCTCTTCCCCTGTTTCAGGGGCTGCACTGCATGCACGTGGCAGGTAAAGAAGATATGCCCGCAAGGGGGTACGATCGAAGACGACGAAGACGGGTACCGAGGGTTTGGGATGTACGCGTTGATTTGTACGTGAGCAGATAGGAGCGAGCAGTCTCAACATTACTGGTGTTGTTGCTGTTGTTGTTGCTGTTGCTGTTGCTGCTGTTGTTGTTACTGTGGGTGTTGTTGGTAATGTGTGTGTTGATGTTGGTGGTCTGGTTGTTGTTGTTGTTGTAGTAGTTGTTGTTGTTGGTGGTGGTGGTGGTGTTGGTGTTGTTGGTGTTGAAAGCCAGGGCCAGGGGCGCAATATGAGGAGGAAGAGATCCCCAAGGCATGAACGATTCTTGCCCCGGTGCCGGTGCCGGTGCCGGTGCCGGTGCCGGTGCCGGTGCCGGTGCCGGTGCCGGTGCCGGTGCCGGTGCCGGTGCCGGTGCCGGTGCCGGTGCCGGTGCCGGTGCCGGTGCTGGTGCGGGTGCGGGTGCGGGTGCCGGTGCCGGTGCCGGTGCCGGTGCCGGTGCCGGTGCGGGTGCGGGTGCCGGTGCCGGTGCCGGTGCGGGTGCGGGTGCGGGTGCGGGTGCGGGTGCGGGTGCGGGTGCCGGTGCCGGTGCCGGTGCCGGTGCGGGTGCGGGTGCCGGTGCCGGTGCGGGTGCGGGTGCGGGTGCCGGTGCTGGTGGCCGGTGCCGGTGGCCCGTAGCCGGTGCTGGTGCCAGTGCCGGTGCCGGTGCCGGTGCCGGTGCTGGTGCCGGTGGCCGGTGCTGGTGCGGGCGCTTGTTTTCCCAGAACATCCTCTCCTTCTCCCTCCCGCCTCCCGCCTCCCAGCATTGCCACTCCCGCCCCTCCAGGGAAGCCCCGCCTGAGCGAGGAGGGTAACGAAAACCCATACTATTTACATGGTTTCGTGCCCTTCCCACCTCTCCAGGGAGGCCCCGCCTGAGCGAGGAGGGTATCCCACCCCTCCAGCAGGGAGGCCCCGCCTGACTGAGCGCGGACAGTATCGGAAACCCATACTATTTACATGGTTTCGTGCCCCTCCCTCCCCTCCAGGGAGGCCCCGCCTGAGCGAGGAGGGAATCGGGAACCCGTACTATTTACATGGTTTTGTGCCCTTCCCACCTCTCCATGGAGGCCCTGCCTGAGCGAGGAGGGTCTCGGAAATTAATACAGATTACATGGTTTCGTGCTCCTCCCACCCCTCCAGGCAGGCCCCGCCTGAGCGAGGAGGGTGTCGGAAACCCATACTATTTACATGGTTTCGTGCCCTTTCCATCCGCCTGAGCGAGGAGGGTATCGGAAACCCGTACCATTTACATGGTTTCATGCCTTTCCCACCCCTCCAAGGACGCCCCGCCTGAGCGAGGAGGGTATCGGAAACCCATGCTATTTACATGGTTTCGTGCCCCTCCCACCCCTCCAGGGAGGCCCCGCCTGAGCGAGGAGGGTATCGGAAAACCATGCAATTTACATGGTTTCGTGCCCCTACCACCTCTCCAGGGAGGCCCCGTCTGAGCGAGGAGGGTATCGGAAACCCATACTATTTAAATGTTTTCGTGCCCCTCCCACTGACATGGGTGAGGAGGAGGGGACAACATTACCTATCCATCTCACGTCCTACTCCTCCCACTGAGGAGGGTGAGGAGGAGGGGGAGTTCTGCGATGAGGAAGGCGTCATCATGATGATGGTGATGACGATGGTTATACTGCTGTTCGCGATGACGAAGACGATGGCGATAATGGTGATGGACGATGACGATGGCGATAACGGTGATTATGATGATGATGCTGATGATGATGACGATGATGATGATGACGATGACGATGATGACAACGATGGCGACGACGACGAGGATGATGATGCAGATGCTGGTGATGATGACGATGCTGCTGCTGATGCTCACGTTGCTGGTGATGTTGATGATGATGAAGACGATGATGATGATCATGACGTCCACGATGATGCGGACGATGATGATGCCAAGGACGGTAATGGTGATGATGATGATGACGATGCTGATGATGATGACGATGATGCTGATGACGATGGTGGCGACGACGACGATGATGATGACGATGACGCTGGCGATGATGATGATGCTGATGATGATGAGGATGATGATGATGATGGTTATGATGATGCCGATGATGCTGACGATGAGGATGATGATGTTGATGATGTTGATACTGATGATGATGATGACGATGATGCTGATGATGACGACGACGACGACGGGGTGACGACGATGCTGCTGATGATGCTGATGATGACGACGATGATGCTGGTGATGATGATGATGATGATGATGATGATGATGTGGACGACTCCGTGGCCAGACGATTCTTTTTGCGCAAAGGGGCGCCAGGCGAGGACACGAAATCTGATGCCGCAGGGGCCAGCACCAGGCCGAAGAAACATTCTTGAGTTGGGAACAAAGGGGGGGAGGGAGAGACTTGAGAATGGAAGCGCGGCCCGAAAGAAAGCCACAAATAGCCGCGGGCAGCATAATGTGGACGACTCCGTGGCCAGACGATTCTTTTTGCGCAAAGGGGCGCCAGGCGAGGACACGAAATCTGATGCCGCAGGGGCCAGCACCAGGTATGATGGCTAGTCCAAGACACTGGCTGCAAGCCGCAAACCTTGAATGACAACTCACACACATCTAGATAGTCGGGGGGCATATCGGAGGCTATCGACACTGTTGGCCATCATTTCACATGCGCATCGTAGTATACAGGCAGGAGGCTGGCGCGCAGAGCTGCGCATCTGACGGTCTAACGATGGGATGCCTAGCTCGTCGAGATGTCGCCTCCGAGTGCGACGGCACGGCGAGGCGCCAGGTGAACAGGTCAGGGATAGCCTATCAATACCTTTCACGTTCCAGCCAACAAGTCGGAATCTGTTTCTGACGCGGCCAGGGTACATGCAAGAGTCGAAAACAGTCGAAGAAGAACTCTGGCTCACAAGAGAGGTGCACGCACGGCCATCCCATATAAAAGACGCGTCGGGGTGGCACAATATGGCGGGCACTTTCTTCTCACACCATTCAGACAGGACGTGCAAGTACTGATCCTGGAAAAGGTTGGCGATGCAAACAGATCGAGCTTTAAAGTTGGTCAGGGTCGAGAGGCCGCGAGGATACAGCTTAGAACGAACAGCAGGGGAATGACGAAGCCAGGTGGCGGTGTCGGGTTCCACCCACACGCAGGAGATGCAGTTATAACGAATCCAGCCTAAAACGCGCCGCATCACTGCGGGATCGGTGATGTCGCCCCCAGGGTGGCGACTCGTGTCGAGGCGCGCGACGCCGAAGCCCATCCGTTGCAGGGCGCGGGTTGCCCCTCCGTCACAGCCGAGCACCAGCGCGGGGCAGTGCCTGCTTCTCGTAGAAGCCCGCCTGGCAGCGCGCCACAGGCGCGTCAGGCGAAGGCCCACCGTGCAGCGATCGGTGGAGGCGGCGGCCTGACCGCAGGCGGCGTCGGCGTCACTGCCAGCGGCACCTGCCGTGGGAAGACGCTCGAGGCCGCGGTCAGGAGGATGAGGTCGTTCTTCTGCCAGTCCACCTGCTCGTTGAACTTGACGACGGTCTGGCCTAGGTTGACGATCCGCTGCTGCATGCGGGCCCGCTTCACGAAGCAGAGAGGGATCTGGCCCGTCATCCAGTGGCCGCCGTCCTTGACCTCGTTCGTCGTGCGCCTGAGCGACAGCAGGTCGTCGGACGCACCCCCATGACGAAGCGAGTAGAGAATGAACTCGATCTCCAGACCGAGGGCGGCTGCTGCTCGACGGAACATGCCCCGCACCGCGTCGGGGGAGAGGGCCCAAAGGTCGTCGGTCGGGCCCTCGTCGTGTACGGGTCGAGGTCGTATCACGCTCCTCACCGTAAGGCGGTGGGCCTCGCTTGGCCTCAGGTAGGCGTCGAACATCAGCCCGATGAACAGAGTCGCGTCGAAGAGCTTCCACGCTATCAGGACGCCCACGACGGATGCCATCGCCGCTCGAGGTAGAGGGAGTCGCGTCAGTGGGAACACGAGCTCCCGTCAGCCTGTCAAGGCGCGAGCCGCCCGTGGGCACGGGTCGCTGCCAGCAAGGATCGCGGGTAGGTAGTGCTTCAGAGCGGGCATGAGCACACGGCCCGTGGCACTGCCGAAGCCGTCCAGAAAGCGGTTCACGAAGTAGGTAGCTAGGATGACACCGACCTCCTCCGTCGCGGCGAACGTCTGGGGCGTCGAGCGGCACCACTCCTCGAACTTCTTTGCGGCATCCCAGTAGTTGGCCATGGTCGTGTCCGACGCGGCGGCCGACTCCAGCACCGACAGGGCCCCTCGTGCGATCAGCACGGGCCCAGGATGGGACCTGGTCCTCCGCTCCGCCAGCGGCGTGGTCCGATGCCCTCGAAGTTTGGGATGCAGAGGCCTGGTGCTCCTCGAAGGTCGGCCCGACAAAGAAGCCTGTCCTGGACGGCGAGTCCGCGGCATTGCTCTCACTGGGGAACCACCGAATGGCGTGGCGGATGCCTGTGGCCGCCGACAGGGCACATAGTCGGCGTAGAGGGTCGCGGAGGCCTCGGGCGCCAGAACGGCCCTTGCCAGCGGCAAGAGCTAGAGCCAAATTGTCAACGGTGAACAGGATGCGATGATGACGAAGCCGTCCAGACCGAGCCGAGTGTCGCATCGCAAACCCGAGAGCCTCCGCCTCGTATCGCATAATGTCCAAGCCGAACCTTGAATGACGCGAACTGTGTATCGTGGCCCAGCCGTCGGAAGCCGTGATCGAGTCGGGAACCTCATCGAAGCCGTCGAGAGACGCAGCGTCAGCAGGTTGATGTCGCGATGATGCCGTAGACGGAGGGCCTCCAGGGATCCTAGGAGGCTTCGTACTGAGGCGGCACTCTTCGAGGCAATTTTTGTCCACGGTAGCTTCTAACACAGAGCGAGGCTCGATCCCGAGCGCGCGGGCACGGGCGTGCACGGCGTCGGAGAACCGATAGCGCCATCTCTCAGACAAGCGCCCAGCGGCCGCGGCCACCTCCCGGTCGACGGTCTTGCGGCAGACCCCGATGCCGTAGGGGGGGGCGTCGCTGCAGCAGGTAGTCGCCGACCACTGTGCTCTGACGTCGGCCCACCATAGCGGTAGGAGGGCGGCCGCCGCGCGCAGCTCGGCGATAACCGACGGCCACAGCGGCGCGCCCACTCGCGAGCCCAGGCCCATGAAGCGGTAGACTGAGTTGAAGACCGACAGCATGGGTCTGTTGGTGATCATACCCCACGCGCAGTGACCCACCACTGCTGACAAGGCCAAGGGCGATGCAAAGCCGCGTCTCAGTAGACCGAACAAGGCTTGACGCAACCGGCAGAGCCTGTCGATCTTACAGCGGACGACGCCGACGTCGCCGAGGATGTCCAAGCCAATGAAGACCACGCGCTTGGCAGCGGGGGCGAACTCGTCGACGGGCAGGCCCCTCGACACGAGCACGTCGCGCATGGCCTGGCAGGCCGAAGTGGCCACCTCGGGGTCAAGGGACACGGTGGCAAAGTTGTCAACGTAACCTGCGCCGATGACGTCGGAGTCCTTCCGCAGCGGAGGGACGGCGGCGCCGTCCACCAGCACGGAGCCCTCGTCGATCCCCGAGTCGAGGATGGCCGTGGTCAGGGCGGACTGGCAGAAGTGGAGGGCCCATGACCAGCCCATCGGCATGACGGAGACGAACGGCTGCAGAAAGGCGTCCGCCCCGATGCCCACGCCGTTGAGCCGCTTGAAGCCCAAGCACCGATTCGGGACGACGGGCAGAGAAAAATATCGATGCTGATGTGGCGGAAGCTTCATATGGTAAAATGCGCACTGAATGTCCCCCTGGGCCACGTAGAAGTCGCGGTCGGCCTCGAGTGCGCTCCGCGCCGACGGAGTCGGCAATCTCGTAGAAGGAGGGACCGAGAAGGACATGTTGGCCACCCGCGTGTCGAACACGAGCCGCAGGTTGACGCCGTTGGACTTCTCGACGAAGAAAAAGCCAATAAAAAAGGTAGCCCGACGATCGGCGACATCCCACTCAAGCATGCCAGCCTGGTCCAGGCGTAGCAGAAAATCAGCGTACTCCCGAGGCCGAAACCGAAGGCGTGGGACCACATAGGGCGACCCCAGTCCCGAGTCCTTCCTGAGAGCAGCTGCATCAGCAGGGTCACGTAGCATTTGATGCCTCCACCCTAACAACATAGAACGATCAGCTTCAGACACGAGGTCGGCCGTCGGGACGGGGGCCACGTGCTTCGGCCAGGAGACGAGCTCCTTGTTGTAGGGTCTTACCCGAGACTCTCCAGAGCACCCAGGCGCCGATGCGAGCAACTCTGCGAGGGCTGCCTCGCATCTCTGGGGAGATTCAGAATAGCCAGGAGGTAGTTCAAAATCGCGATACTGTTGAGCAAGATACTCCCCAGCGTCACTACGAGCGCGTGGAGGAAGACCAGGAGGCGGGCCGATCACATCGTTCGGGTCGCA